CCACATACGGGCTTAAATCATTCATAACGCACACATTATCACAATCATTTCCTTTAGCTTTTTTAATGCAAATGGAATGTAAGGGGGATGTAATGTTGTCTACTTTATGTGACTTTACATCTTGATTGGGTATTTCCTTTGTAAACAGTCCTAAAATTACTGACAAGACCCAAACGTATCGAATGTAGTACGCTAGCCGCTCCTTTGTCCTTGTGAGCTAAAACGGACAAGGACAAAGTGTTTGCGTTGATATTCTAGGATTTTGATATTAAAAAACTTTACTCCTCTTTACGCCAGATTTGGGAGGGACATTAAAAACCATATCCGTATGGTCATTATGATCTCCTCCAGCCTGCGCAAAAAGAAGCAGAAGTTTATGTGTACACGTATTCCACATGTCTTTCTTATCAGGATATTTGATCGCTACTGTTATTTCATGTATGTACATAGGTTTTATGAATGTGTATGCAAAACGTATGTACACGTAAATATGTGTTTGTGCATGAGAAACCACGATTGAAATAACGGACCAATAATTTACCATGCATTAATCCAATTTAAAAGGCAAGTTACATAGTTTCATAGTTAGTTAAGCTCTTGTTCACTTATTCGTGTGGCTTTAATGCGAAGCAGACAAATCCATCGTCACATTAAGACAGCTTTGTTTACATTCGCCGGTTGTACGCAATACATTGTATTGTGCTACATTCGCTTTCTTTGGAATGTGTTGTTTCTATGAGAACGTTTCGCCCTTCATTATAGCTCCCGAGCATAAGTCAGTCTCTTCTGTTTGTTTTTATGTCCTAGATCACGTGTCAAACTCAAGGCCCGGGGACCAAATGCGGCCCACCGGGCTGCTTTGTGTGGCCGACCTGAGCTTAAAAAGCATTTAGTAAAGTCCATGCAGCAGTGCAGTGCTGAGAAATTTTAATTTTTTAACCTGAGAAATGAAACATTTCCATCCTAGATTATGATGTTCGCGTAGGTGAGTGACATAGGTACATTAGTACAGTTGAGTACATTCAAACTATTAATTATTAAAAGACAAGTAAACATCTATCTTTCAGTTTCTCTTGTAACCATTGTGCTAATCGTACTTAACATCGACGATCTGTGTAATCCCTTTTAAGGCTTTAGGTTTTTCTTCTCCTTTTTTTTTTGCTTTTTTTATACCTCGCTCATAATCAGCATCTTCAGCCTCCCGAACAGAATTTGTCTTGACAAGTCAGCGGGTGTGTGAATTTTAAGACAGTTGTTGACTTGTTTGTATTCTTTATCTCCAGCACAGAGCCATAAATATAGTTGATGTTTTTTTTGTATAACCTTTGATCATTTCAGTAAAAAAGAACTTCCCAACGTTGCCGCCACAGAATATTGATGTTTTATTTATTGAACAAATTCCCTGATCATGTCGAGTGTAGTTCAGTACTTATACAGTATCTTGCAGACAAATATTTATATACGCAAACTCGTGACTCTCTTTCCTCTTTGTCATAATAATAAAAAAAAAACCCTTTTTAATGTCAGCGGGAGATGGATTTTTAGGCTAAATGATGAGTGAGTCCTTTCAGCTTTACGTCTGAAATATCCGCCTTTACTGTGGCCCCTTGACAATAACAATTAAACTCTTACGGTATCTGTGGAGATTACGTTGACTTGTCTTTGTGCCCATAGGGAGGCAATGTGAAGCAGCAATCTGAAACAACCCAAAACTCGATCGACTCGTGGGGTGATCGTACCGTCCGGTGTCTTTATACCATGATCCAGATGTTGAAATCGGTCAGTTTCTTTGGGGTCACATTGAGGAATCTCGTCTTTGTTGATGATCTTAATCAATGAGGGGTGTTTGTTCGTTCATTTGTTATTGTCTGGAATCCCATGTCGGTGTTGCCCCCCATGTTATTTGCAGGGATGAAACATATATTTAGAATTGTTACCATTTTATCAGTGCGGCTTGACAACAACATGTTACAGCTGCAGTAAGCACCGATACTAAGCAGCAGTGAGTGACATCAGCTAAACAAACCGTCGCATGCAAATCAGACAGATGTCTCGCAGAGAGACAGGCAGCAGACAAATAGACAATGCGTCTGTGTAACTGCTTTAAAAACAAAATCGACCACCAGGGAGAAAAAAAAAAAAAAAAGATAAATTTTTTTAATTTCTTTTGTCTTC